CCTTCCGCTGCCGCGGCAACCTCACTTTCGCGGGTTGGCTTGCCCTTGTGCGCCACCCGGCGCCAACATGCGGTCAGCAACTTCTGCTTGGCGTGTCGCTCCGCCGGTTCTGGCCCGCCACGCTTCGGGGCGACACGCTGCCCACGTCCAATTCCAAGCGACAACGTCCCGAGCTCTTCCCGGTCTCCCGCCCCCGCAGCGGAGCGAAACACTATATCAACCGATAGCGTGTCGCAGGGGGCCGCCGCTGAGACCCATCAGGCAGAAGTTCCTGACCGCATTTTTCCGTCGACGGTCACGTCGCACGTGCTCCTCCTTGCTACCGACTGAGAGTCTGTACGTTGCACATGTGTTCAGTATTTTTGTTCAGGGCACGCGAATTTGTTCCAACGTTGCTCTTGCATGATGAGCGATGCCAGCGGAGGCAAAGTGGGAGGTCGGTCGCATTGGAGAATCACTGCCGCACTCATCGTTGCTGACGTCATCGGCGGTGGGATCCTCGCTTTGCCGGGCACGTTCGCGAGCTTGGGTTGGATTGACGGCTTTGGCGCATTGCTGCTTCTCGGATACGTGTCGCTCTATACGGGGCAGCTCATAGGCCGCCTTCACGGCCTCTACCCTTTCGTGAAGTCGTACGGCGACCTCGGCGCAGAGTTCTTGGGCAGACGTGGCAGAGCAGTTGTCTCCACACTCGCCTACACGCAGATGTTCGGGCTTTGCGTAGTTTTCCTCGTGGGAATGACCATCTTTGCAAATCAGGTGGCCGAGTCAGTGCAGATGCCCAGCGCGTGCTTCGTGACATCGGTGGCCATCTTGAGCGCCGTCGTGCTCGTTCTTGCTCAGGTCCGTAGCATCCACGGTGTGGGTCAACTTGCTGCTTGGATTGCAATGCCGACGTTGTACTTCGCGTTGGCGCTCTTTTTCTATGAGCTCTCGGGCCTCGCACAGCAAGAAGCAAAGACCAACGTGTGGCCGCCATTTGGCTCCGAGAAGACTGTAGTTGCTGTGATGAGCATCGTGATGACTTATGCCGGGCACGTGGTCTATTTTGAGCTCATCGCAGACATGAGTCAGCCGAAAGACTTCGAGAAGGCCATCATCTCAAGCCAGGCAGTCATTTTGGTCACTTACTTGTTTGTTTCGGCCACCGTCTATATTGTCCTCGGCAGCGGCGTCGCCAGCCCTTTCCAGGTCGCAAGCCCTTTAAGGAAGGGTTTTCAGCAGGTAGGCTCATCCCAAGCGCTCTCGGGGTAGCCCCGTTGCTCTGTTGCAGACTCTGTTCAAATGAGGAAAAACTACCCGGACCCGACAGTTGGCCTTTACTAAACGGCCTTGGGCGTTTACTGAACAGCCCTGCCCTGATTGATTCCTGCTTTCGGTGAGTTCACTGAACGGCTTCGCGTGCCGGGGTGATTCTCGTGGGGGTGGATGTTCTGCCCTCTGCTTGTGGGTGGGGGGGGGGGGGGGCACTTGAGCCCCAAGCCCGTGGACCACCGACGGCGGGCCTGTCGTCTCCTTCAGCCCCTCTTTTTTGACCCCCCTCCCCCTCCCCCCTCCCTCTCCTCCCCCTCCTCCTCCCTCCTCCTCCTCCTCCTCTCCTCCTCCTTCCTCCTCCTCCTCCCCTCCCCCTCCGCCTCCTCCTCCTCCTCCTCCCCTCCTCCTCCTCCTCCTCCTCTCCTCCTCCTCCTCTCTCCTCCTCCTCCTCCTCCTCCTCCTCCTCCTCCTCCTCTCCCTCCTCCTCCTCCTCCCTCCCTCCTCCTCCTCCTCCTCCTCCTCCTCCCCCCCCCCCCTCCCCTCCTCGCCTCCTCCTCCTCTCCTCCTCCTCCTCCTCCTCCTCCTCCTCCTCCTCCTCCTCCTCCTCCTCCTCGGCCCGTCCAGACACCATCGCCGGGCGAGCTGCCCTGATCAGGAAAGCGTCAGAGCCGGGGCTGGACGCAAGCGCTGTTTTGCTGGGCTCCGGCCGCGTCTTGTTTTTCGTCTTGGCGGGAGGGCACGGGACAACGGGCGGGGGCAGGACGAACAGCAGAACGAGAGCGAGACGGAAAACACAACGTTTGGGTCCAGCCCCGGCAAGAGCATCCATGGGGGCAGGCAGGTGAACCGGCCGTCAAGCCCACGCTCGAAGTCAGTCCGAGTAGACCCGGGAGTGGAATGGTTGAGGTTGCCGTCGAAGGAGGAGGAGGATGCGGAGGAGAAAGTGCAGAAGAAGGAAGAGGAGGGACGAGATGAACAAGACCAGGAGGAGGAGGACGGAGGAGGACGGGGACGACGACGACGACGACGACGACGACGACGACGACGACGACGACGACGACGACGACGACGACGACGACGACGGCGGCGGCGGCGGCGGCGGCGACGACGACGACGACGGCAGGAGATGACCATGAAGACATTCGCGAATCTCTCGCTCTGTGGCTTCTCGAGCGCCTCTTGGGGCCACGCTGGGGGCCCTTCTGCAGCCGCGGTCGGAGCCCCTCAGGGGGCTGTCTCGGGGCCTCTCGCGGGCCCCTCTCGGGGGCCGCTGGGGCTCCCGTGGGGCCCTCTTGGGAGCCTCTGTGGCCCGGTTGAGGCCATATTGGAGGATGATTCGCAATATCTTTCTAATTATACTAACACCACAAAATTCACCATTTATTAATGATAATATATAGTTTGTTATCACGTCGGAGAAAGGGCAGAATTACCCGATTCAGTCTACTCTAAAACCCAAATCACCACTCAGTCCAACAAGGGGGGGTCCCCAAGTCGAGTGGAAAAAAATATTAGACGCTCCAGGCTATGAACTGCCCGCTTGAGGCCACATTGGAGGACGTCAGTCCAGCAAGAGGGGGTCCCCACGTCGAGTGGACCATAGATGTAAGACTCCCCAGGCTGTGCACTAGTGCTTCTGGTGCCGCTGAACTGATTGGGCTGACCGAGAGCTCTGCAGCTGCACTGCGCATGCAGATTTCGTCCAGGAACGCACAGTCTACTAGAGTTGCCCCTCTGGGGCCCTAGAACTTGGCTCTTGGGACGCTCTGGGGGCGCCCTCTCGGGGCTCTCCTGGGCCACCTTGGGAGCCACCCCGAGGCCTCGGGGGCCCCTTTGGAGGCGAGCAGGCGAGGAGGCAGGCGTCGTTGGGTCTCTGTGGGGGGGGGGCTCCTCCTCCTCCTCCTCCTCCTCCTCCTTCCTCCTCCTCCTCTCCTCCTCCTCCTCTCTCCTCCTCCTCCTCCTCCTCCCCCATCCCCCTCCCCCTCCTCGTCGATCCGTGCCTGGGGCGCGAAGTAACAGGGGGGGCGGCGGCGAGGGCTGCAGGAAAGGAGCACTCTGGGCCCCCCTCTGGGGCCCAAATGGGGCGATGCATGGGGGGGGGGGGTCTGGAGAAGCTCCGTGGCCGTTCGGAGCCGTCTTGGGGAGGTCTTGGGACCGCGTGGAGGCACTTTGGATCACATGTGGCCGTCTTGCGCTGTGTTGTGTGATATTGAAGGCCGTGTTGGGCTATCTAGAGCCATCACGGGCCGTTCTGGACGCTCTAACTTGTCGCCCCCCTCCCCCCCTCATCCAAACACCGTAGAAGGGCAAACCCGTCTCCGAGGGGGAAGACGAGGTTGGAAGGGGAAGCGCTCTAGGCCACATCAGCCCTGGAAGGCTGGTAGGATGACTCTGCTGCCGAATGCTGATTGGAAAAAGGAGCGGGGATCAGACCAAGTAGGCAACTAAACTATCGAAGACGCCTGCGGTCAACCACGGACGTAACCTTCCTATTGGAAACGCCTATGTGGCCTAGCAATGTCCGTCTTGCCAAGATGCTGGACCAAGCGTGCCCCCCGCCGTTGTGGAAACTTTTCAGGAACAATTGGGTTAGGGAGAGGAGGAGGAGAAGGAGGAGGAGGAGGAAGAGGTGGAGGAGGAAGGGGAAGAGGGGGAGGAAGAGGACCACCGGAAGCCCAAGACGCGTAATCGATGGTAAGCAACATGGACCCGCTGTCTAAGTGCCTTCTTCATTAGTTCCTACACTCATTGATTTTCAATGCGGGAAGTGCCCCATCGACAGACGATCGTATGGGAACCCTTCATCCTGCCACAACACCGCTCCAGGGACGTCAGCGCCGAGAATCAACGTGACTGTAGCGTCCTGGCAATCCTAATTCGTGCCAGAACACAGTTAATCACGCTTCGCGTATCCCCACCAGCCCATTCCGAAACCCTGCCCGTGAAAGGGACGACGAGACGCATGTAGCGAAACAATAAAGGCAACCAAAGTGAACAGAGATGGAGCAAGGGGTTGGCCTTGGAAGGCCTCTTCAGGCCATCCCTTGGGCACGCGTGGTGGCGAGGGAAGAAGAAGGAGGAGGAGGAGGAAGAGGAGGAGGAGGAAGGCGGCGACGACCACGACGACGAGGAAGATGAGGAAAAGGAATAGGAAGAAGATGAGGGTGAGGACGAGGACAAAAAGGAAGAGGAAGAGGAGGAGGAGGAGGAGGAGGAGGAGGAGGAGGAGGAGGAGGAGGAACAGGCGAAGACAACGAGGACAAGGACAGAGCCCTCAAAGTCGCCATTTGGAGCCCTCTTGGAGCTATTTTGGGGTATCGTAGGATCAGATTGGAGATCTTTGAGAGGTATGGAGGCCCTCTTGGCGCCTTCCTGGGGCTCTCTTGGGGGCCAGTTGGACGCCCTGGAATGCCTCTTGGCGCTATCTTGAAGGGCGTCGGTGAAAAGAGGGTCGTAACGTTCCCCCCCCCCTTCCCCCCTCCCCTGGGGCCCTCGATGTCGCCCCTTGGGGCGCTCTTGGGGCGATCTTAGGCGCTCGTGGGGCAGCCTTGGGGGCCCCTTGGGCCCCTCTCGGGGCTCTCCTGGGCCATCGTGGGGCCATCCTCGGCCTTCAGAGGCGCATCGGCAGTGAAAGGGCGAGACGGCCAGAGTCATTGAAGTGCCTTGGGTGTTTGAAGGATGCTGGCCTCTTGGAGGGAGCTTCGGGGGGCTCCGAGGGCACTTGGGGCCGTCTTGTGGCCCTCGTCGGGCCTCTTGACGGTATGTCGGAAGCTATCTTGAACCATCACCATCTAGTTTGAGCCATCTTGGATGCCATCTAAGACGCCCTGGCCGACAGCGGCTTGCCCCAACAAAACCTCAGGGAGGGCCTCCCTCCCTCCATCCGCCTCCTCCACCTCCTCCTCCTTCGCCTCCTACTCCTCCCCTTCTGCCTACTCCTCCTTCTCCTCCTCCTCCTCCTCCTCCTCCTCCTCCTCCTCTTCCTCCTCCTCCTCCTCCTCCTCCTCCTCCTCCTCCTCCTCCTCCCGCTCATCCACCTCCTTCTCCTCCTCCTCCTCCTCCTCCTCCTCCTCCTCCTCCTTCTCCGATGGGGAGGGTACCCCTTCCCGAAGGGAACAGGAGTTTTGGAAGAGGGAAGAAGAGAACTCGCTGGACCACCAAAGCCCAAGCGGCTGTTACGAGCCCTGGGACTTCAACACCGCGAAACAACGTGACTGTTGCGCCCTGACAAGCCTAAATCGTGCCCCGGACACCATTCATGGGACTTCAAGTATGCGATTCCTTGAAACTGCTGCAAACTTTTCGGACGAATGTGCGCGGCGCTGAGGCGAGAGCCACATGTTAAAAAGGAGCGGGCCTCCATCCTTGAAACTACTGCAAGCCTTCAAGACGAATGCGCGCGGCGCTCAGGCGAGAGCAACATCTTGAAAACGAGGCGATGGCCATGGTTTGAAAACGACGTGTGCTCCATCCCAGAATGTTTGCAGAGTTCAAGCTTCAAGATCAGAAGTTGCGAGAAAGTCTCAAGCTAAACGCCCGGCCCGGCCTTCCAACGCGTCTCGGGGCATAACAGAGAGGAGTTATTCATCTAAGAGAAAGGGATGCAGAAGGGGGAGGAGGGGAAGGAGGGGGGGAGGGGGGGAGGGGGGGGGAGTTGGAGCAGGACGGAGAAGAGGAGAAGGAGAGAGATGAAGGTGAGGAGGAGGAGGAGGAGGAGGAGGAGGAGGAGGAGGAGGAGGAGGAGGAGGAGGAGAGGGGAGGAGGAGGAGGAAGGAGGAGGAGGAGGAGGAGGAGGAGAGGAGGAGGAGGAGGAGGAGGAGGAGGAGGAGGAGGAGGAGGAGGCGGAGGAGGAGGGAGAGGAGGAGAGACGAGAGGAGGAGGAGGCGAGGAGGGAGGAGGAGGAGGAGGAGGAGGGGTGTAAGGAGGAGGGGGAGTAGGAGAAGGAGGGGAGAGACGGAGGAGGTGACGTCTTCGGGCCGTCCTGGGGTGCCTCTTGGGCTGTGCTGGGGCGGTGTCTTGTAGCTGTCCCTGAGGTGATGTTGGGCCATCTTGGAGGCAATGTGCTCCGTCTTCGAGGCGTCTTGGGCCGTCTTGCGGTTGCTCTTGGACCGTGTAGGGCCGTCTCGGAGGCCATCCTGGGGCCGTCTTGGGCGCCCTGGAGGCGGAGGGAGCTCCTTTTCTGGTTGTTCTGGGTGGCCAGCGGGTTTGGTTGGAGGCCATGGGGAGATTTCTGGAAGGGCCCAAAGGGTCAGCTCACACCCACCACGCCGTGCACCCCTCTCAAAGCAGAAGGGGGCGGCGCAAACCACCACCGTGCTTGGGTCGTGAAACGGAGGCCTCTCAGATGCCTCTTGGGGGCTCCTCGGAGGCCTCTTAGGGTGCTCTTTCAGGCCGCTCTGCTGTCTTTGGGGGAGTTCCTGAGGGCCTCTCGACGGCCTCCTGGGAGCCGCGTGGCGGTCTCGGAGGCCGTATCGGCTTTTTTGGCGGGGGCCGTCCTGGGGAACAGCTCTTGGGCCCCTCTTGGGGGCTCGGAGGCCCTCTTGGAGCGATCTCTGGGGGCAGAGCGGGCCGTGCTCCGTGCGAGCTGAGGTGGTTGGAACGCCCAGGGCTTCTCAGTTGCCTGCTCTGGCCTGCGGGGGCCGGCTCGCGGAGCCTCCAAATTCGGCCCAGGTCTCAGGACGGGCCCCGGGAGTGTCGGACGCGTGGGATCCTGACCACGCCCCCGGGGCCTCCAGAAAAGTCGCGCGGCGGCTCCCAGGAGCGCCCAGACGCCAGGGGGCCATGTGCAGCGACGGAGACCTCGACGGGACTCGAGGGCATTCCACCCAGTGCCCTCGACACGGTGGCGGACTTCGCAGGGGTGGCCACCGGACCCCTGCCTTGCAGCTTGCACGCCCCGTCGTTGCTAGGTGAGCTTACCTACGTCCACCGCCGTGGGCGTGGCAAACGTCCTGATGATTATGCACGTGCTGATTTCGCTCCTGCTCAACCACCACGTCATCTCTAAGTTGCTCTTCGACCTCGCTGTCTCTGGCCTCTCGCGCGCGAAGGGCGGAGTCTCCGTCGATGGCACGCCCTTCGGTTCAGCCATGAAGGAGGGGGAAACAAAATGCACCGGTACTGCCACTCCCCGGACCTCTCGTGGGGTGCGCCCCGACCAGGATCTCGACACGGAAGTGCCAAGCCGTTGTTGTGACCACACCTTCGGGTGAGTCGGAGGGGATTCGTGGTGACCGCACGGTTTTCGGACTTGAGTCGTTCTCCGAGGATGCGACTGAGGCCGCCGAGGCCTCCAAGGTCCCAAAGCCGTGCCGTGGCGGACGGTGCGGTGAGGTCGTTTTGGGGGATGTCGAGGTCACCGCACGGCCTATCGCCGCACCGCTTCGGGGGCCCATGTCTACGTGTTCGAACCCCGCCGTGGCGACGAGGGCCCCCCCAGGGAGGCCGGAAGGGGCGGCAGCGAGCGAAGGGGCACCAGCGTCGGTGCGCCTTCGTCCGAGAGGAGGGCGCGGGCTGGCTGGCGGCCACGGCCGCGGTGACGGTAGCCGCCATGCTCACGGCGAACCTCGTCCCCTGCCTGGAGGGCGCCAACCAGGGCGTCCCAGGAAGGGCCTCGCCTTCGGCGCGTCTCGCTCTGGTGTTGGTGTTGGTGTTGGTGTTGGTGTTGGTGTTGTGGTTGTGGTTGTGGTTGTGGTTGTGTGTTTGGGTGTTTGTGTGTTTGTGTGTTTGTGTGTTTGTGTGGTTGTGTGTTCGTGTGTGGTTGTGTGTTTGTGTGGTTGTGTGTTTGTGTGTTTGTGTGTTTGTGTGTTTGTGTGTGTTCGTGTGTTTGTGTGTGTGTTTGTGTGTGTTTGTGTGTTTGTGTGTTTGTGTGTTTGTGTGTGTGTGCGTGCGTGCGTGCGTGCGTGCGTGCGTGCGTGCGTGTGTGTGTGTGTATGTGTGTGCACGCGTGCGCGTCTGCGCGTCTGCGCGTCTGCGCGTCTGCGCGTCTGCGCGTCTTCGCGGCTGCGCGTCTGCGCGGCTTCGCGGCTGCGCGTCTGCGCGGCTGCGCGGCTGCGCGGCTGCGCGGCTGCGCGGCTGCGCGGCTGCGCGGCTGCGCGGCTGCGCGGCTGCGCGGCTGCGCGGCTGCGGCTGCGGCTGCGGCTGCGGCTGCGGCTGCGGCTGCGGCTGCGGCTGCGGCTGCGGCTGCGTCTGCGTCTGCGTCTGCGTTTGCGTCTGCGTCTGCGTCTGCGTTTGCGTCTGCGTCTGCGTCTGCGTCTGCGTCTGCGTGTGCGTGTGCGTGTGTGTGTGGGTGTGTGTGTGTGCGGGTGTGTGTGTGTGTGTGCGTGTGCATCTGTATGTATGTATATGTGTGCGTGTGGGTGTGTGTGTGTGTGGGTGGGTGCGTGTGTGCGACTGTGTGTGTGCGTGCATGGGTGGGTGGGTGTGTGTATGCGTGCGTGTGTGCGTGTGTGTCTGGGGGTGTGTGGGTGTGGGTGTGTGTGTGTGTGCGTGCGTGTGTGTGTGCTATGTGGGTGTGAGGTGGTGTGTGTGTGTGCGTGCGTGCTTTGCGTGTTGCGTATGTGTGTGTGTGTGTGTACGTGTGGGTGCGGCGTGTGTGTTTGTGTATATGTTTTGTGGTGTGTACTTGTGCGTGGGTGTGTGCGTGTGTGGGTGTTTTGCGTGCGTGCGTGCGTGTGTGTGTGTGTGTGTTGTGGGTGTTTGTGTGTGTGTCTGTGCGTGTGGATGTGTGGGTGTGTGGGTGTGTGGGTGTGGTGGGTTTGGTGGGTATGTGTGTGTGGGTGTGTTTGTGTGGGTGCGTGGGTGTTTGTGTGTGTGGGTGTGCGGGTGGCGTGCAAGAATGCGTGCATGTTTGCGTGCGTGTGTGTGTGTGGGTGTATGGTGTGTTGGTGTGTGGGTGTGTGGGTGGGTGTTGGTTTGGGGGTTGGTGTGGGAATGTGTGGCGTGTGTGTGTGTGCGTGTGAGCCTGCGTGCGTGTTGTGCGTGTGGGTGTGGGTGTGTGTGGGTGAGTGTGGTGTTGTGTGGTGCGCGTGGTTGCGTGGATGTGTGGGTGTCTGCGTGCGTGCGTGAGTGCGCGCGTGTGTGTGTGTGTGTGAGTGGGTGTTTGTGTGTGTGTGTGTGCGTGTGTGCGTGTGTGCGTGTGTGGGTGCGTGCGTGCGTGCGTGCGTGTGTGCTACCAGTGCCCGATTGCCAGCGCAGTGACTCTGCCTAGCCGGCGACGGAAATCCACATATGTGTGTGCGTCTGTGCGTGCGTGCGTGCGTGCGTTCGTTCGTGCGTGTGTGTATATGTGTGTGTGCGTGCGTGTGTGTGTGTGTGTGTCTGGGTGTGTCTGGGTGTGTTGGTGAATGTGTGTGTGCGTGTGTGTGTGTGTTTGTGTGCGTGCGTGCGTGCGTGCGTGTGTGTGTGTGTTGGTGTGTTGGTGTGTGGGTGCGTGGGTGTGCGTGTGTGTGTGTGTGTCTGGGTGGTGTACGTGCGTGCGTGCGTGGGTGTTTGCATGCGTGCGTGCGTGCGTGCGTGCGTGTGTGTGTGTGCGTGTGGTGTATAGGTGTGTGGGTGTGTGTGGGTGTGCAGGTGTGAGCGGGTGTGCGAGTGTGGGTGTGTGCGTGCGTGTGTGTGTGTGTGTGTGTTGCGTGTGCGTGTGTGTTTGCGTGTTTGTGTGTGTGTTTGTGTGTGTTTGTGTTTGTGGTTGTGTGTATTGTTTGCGTGTTGTTGCGTGTGTGTGTGTGTGTTTGCGTATTGTTGCGTGTGCGTGTGTGTGTGTGTGTGCGTGCGTGTGTGTGTGTGTGTGTGTGTGTTTGAGTGTTGTTGCGTGTGCGTGTGTTGTGTGTGTGTGTTTTGCGTGTGTGTGTGTGTTGCGTGGTGGTGTGTGTTGCATGCGTTCGTGCGTGCGTGTGGTGTGTGTGTGTGCGTGCGTGTTTGTGTGCGTATTGGTGTGTATGGGTGGGTTGGTGTGTGGGTGTGTGTGGCGTGTGTGTGTGTTGTGCGTGCGTTCATGCGCGCGTGCTTCGTGTGTGTGTGTGTTGGGTGTGTGGTTGGGCGTGTGGGCGTGTGGGCGTGTGGGTGTGTGCGCGTGTATGTGTGTGCGGGGGGCGAATGTGTGTGTGTGTGGTTGTGTGGGTTTGTGTATGTGGGCGTGCGTGCGTGCGTGTGTGCGTGCGTGTGTGTGTGTATGTGTGTGAGTGAGTTAGCGTGTGTTTGTGTGCATGTGTGTGCGTGCGCGTGCGTGTGTGCGTGTGTGCGTGTGTGTGTGTGTGTGTGTGTGTACGTGCGTGCATGCGTGCGTGTGTGTGATGTGTGTGTGTGTGGATTTGTGTGTGTGCGTGTGTGTGTGTGCGTGCGTGCGTGCGTGCGTGTGTGTGTGTGTGTGTTGTGTGTTGTGTGTGTGTCTGTGTGTCTGTGTGTCTGTGTGTCTGTGTGTGTGTCTGTCTGTCTGTCTGTCCGTCCGTCCGTCCGTCCGTCCGTCCGTCCGTCCGTCCGTCCGTCCGTCTGTCTGTCTGTCTGTCTGTCTGTGTGTCTGTCTGTCTGCCTGTGTGTGTGTCTGTGTGTGTGTCTGTGTGTGTGTGTCTGTGTGCGTGTGTGTCTGTGTGTTTCTGTGTGTGTCTGTGTGTGTGTGTGTCTGTGTGTGTCTGTGTGTGTCTGTGTGTGTCTGTGTGTGTCTGTGTGTGTCTGGGTGTGTCTGGGTGTGTCTGGGTGTGTCTGGGTGTGTCTGGGTGTGTCTGGGTGTGTCTGGGTGTGTCTGGGTGTGTCTGGGTGTGTCTGAGTGTGTCTTGGTGTGTCTGGGTGTGTCTGGGTGTGTCTGGGTGTGCCTGTGTGTGCCTGTGTGTGTCTGTGTGTGTGTGTGTGTGTCTGCGTGTGCCTGTGTGTCTTTGTGTGTGTCTGTGTGTGTCTGTGTGTATCTCTGTGTGTGTGTGTGTCTGTGAGTGTGTCTGTGTGCGTGTCTGTGTGTGTGTCTGTGTGTGTCGCTGTGTGTGTCTCTGTGTGTGTCTCTGTGTGTGTCTCTGTGTGTGTGTCGCTTGTGTTGTGTCTGTGTGGTGTCCTGTGTGTGTCCTCTGTGTGGTTTCTCTGGTGTTGTCCTGTGTGTGTGTGTCGGTGTGTGCCTCTGTGTGGTGTCCGCTCTGTGTGTGTCCTCTGTGTGTGTCCTCTGTGTTGTTCTCCTGTGTGTGTTGTCTAGTGTGGTGTCTCGGTGTGTGTCTCTGTGTGTGTGTCTGTGTGTGTGTCTGTGTTGTGTGTCTGTGTGTGTGTGTCTGTGTGTGTGCCTCTGTGTGTGTCTCTGTGTGTGTCTCTGTGTGTCTCTGTGTGTGTGTCTCTGTGTGTGTCTCTGTGTGTGTCTCTCTGTGTGTGTGTCTCTGTGTGTGTGTCTCTGTGTGTGTCTCTGTGTGTGTCTCTGTGTGTGTGTCTCTGTGTGTGTCTGTGTGTCTCTGTGTGTGTCTCTCTGTGTGTCTCTGTGTGTGTGTCTCTGTGTGTGTCTCTGTGTGCGTGTCTCTGTGTGCGTGTCTCTGTTTGTGTGTGTCTCTGTGTGTATCTCTGTGTGTGTCTGTGTGTGTGTGTCTGTGTGTGTCTGTGTGTGTGTCTGTGTGTGTGTCTGTGTGTGTGTGTCTGTGTGTGTGTCTGTGTGTGTCTCTGTGTGTGTCTCTGTGTGTGTCTCTGTGTGTGTCTGTGTGTGTGTGTGTCTGTGTGTGTGTCTGTGTCTGTGTGTGTGTGTGTCTGTGTGTGTCTGTGTGTGTGTCTGTGTGTGTGTCTGTGTGTGTGTCTGTGTGTGTGTCTGTGTGTGTGTGTCTGTGTGTGTGTGTCTGTTTTTGTATCTGTGTGTGTGTGTCTCTGTGTGTGTGTCTGTGTGTGTGTCTGTGTGTGTGTCTCTGTGTGTGTCTGTGTGTGTGTCTGTGTGTGTGTGTCTGTGTGTGTCTGTGTGTGTGCCTCTGTGTGTGTCTCTGTGTGTGTGTCTGTGTGTGTCTGTGTGTGTGTCTGTGTGTGTGTCTGTGTGTGTGTCTGTGTGTGTCTGTGTGTGTATCTGTGTGTGTATCTGTGTGTGTCTCTGTGTGTGTGTCTCTGTGTGTGTCTCTGTGTGTGTCTCTGTGTGTGTCTCTGTGTGTGTCTCTGTGTGTGTCTCTGTGTGTGAGTGTGTGTGCGTGGGTGTGTGTGTGTGTGTGTTCGTGTGTTCGTGTGTTCGTGTGTTCGTTCGTTCGTTCGTTCGTTCATTCGTTCGTTCCGCCGCCTAATGCGGGACGCCGTATCTTCACACCGTCTCAACCCAAACCGCGCGCCAAGGCAAACGATGCAGGCGGGGGTGGGCGAGGGGGAAGTACGTGGGTGGGGCACGGTCCGCTGTGCAGCCACCCAACACCAAAATACGCACCCCGCACGCTGCTCTTGAAAGCACCCAACCGCCAGGACCGGCCCCTTCCCCGCACTGGTGGAGCCAACCTACGCACAAACACACGCGACGCAAGACAACCACGGAGCTGCAGCCGGCGCTGCGTGCAGCCCGTGCTGTGTGCGCGCTGTCTCGGCGTGGAAAGCTGTCAGTCGGTTCCGGGTGGCGTGATGGGGCGCACCTGCACCGCGCGACTCCGCACAAGGCTCACGGGAGCATGGGGGAACGCGGGTGGGTGAGGGCGCGTGTTTGAGCCACCCATGTGTGTGTGCACAGCCAATCCATCACACCTGAACGTGGGGCGCCCCATACTACCACGACGAGAACGACGACGGCGGCGACGCCGACGCCGGCGGCGACAACGACAGCGACGACGACGACGACGACGACGACGGGGAGGGGAAACGAGGCAAGGCAGGAGGCAGGGGAAGAAGAGGAGAGGGCAGGAGGGGGCAGCGGGGCACGCGGTGGCAGCAGCGCAATGATTATGCTGCACGCTCCGCCGATGCTGCAAAAAACCGAATCCGTCGTAACGCCAACCGGCCCTGGCGACGCGACGGGAGACACCGGCGTCGTCGTAACGCCCGCTCGCGGCGAGACGTCAGCAGGGGCACGCCAAACCTGCACTGCCCAATCCAGGCAGCCATGGAGGGAGGCAGAGGGGGAGGAAGGAGGGCAAGGGGAGCATCGCGAGGCATGGCCGTGGGCACCCTGGAGGGACCCAGGGGCGAGTCCCGCAGCGAGGCCGGTAACGGCGCACACCTGGACTCCCTGGGTCAGCAGGTGTTGGCACAGGACGCGCACGTTCTGGTCAGTGACGGGGGTGAGCTCCCACCAACCGAACGACGCTACTGTCAGATGCTGCACCCCTGCCTGGGTGGTTGAGCGATCCAACGGGGACCACGCAGGTTTGTGGTAGGGCGCGGAAGTGCAAGACGTGAAAGTACGTGGGACCAGTGGCGCCCCCTCCCGTACCAGGCCAGACAGGGCGTGGAGCCAAATACTCACGTACTCCGTCAGTGCAGCTGGGGCGGCAGGGCCGCATTTCTGCAGGCGCACGCGATCAGACAGCAGCCTCTGGAGGAGGCTTTGGGAGTCACGAAGCCACGCTGCCGCGAGGGCGGGGTCCACACGGGCGCGCGCCGTAAACACCTGGCAGAGCCGTAGCAGCAGCGCGTGCTGCTTGACCGGGAGGGTTGCCACGCCACGGACACCGGGCTCCATGGCGGCAGGGCTCAGGAGAACGGCGGACGGCACGACCGCGACGAAGGACGACGGGAGCGACACCTCGGGGGCCGGGGCAAGTGCTCCAGGCACGGAGCCGATGGCTCCGGGTGCCACACCGCTACACATCACAGCGCAGCACAGCGCAGCAAGGCCGCGTGTGTGCGTGTGTACGGCAGCACATCACAGCACAACACAGCACAACACAGTGCAACACAGCACACACAGCACATCACAGCACATCACAGCACATCACAGCACAGCACATCACAGCACACGCCGCTTGGCGTGTGTGTGTGTGTGTTTTGTGTGTGTGTGTGCTTTGTGTGTGTTGTGTGTGTGTTGTGAGTGTGTGTTGTGTGTATGTTGTGTTGTTGTGTGTGTGTTGTGTGTGTTGTGTGTGTGCTGTGTGTGTGTGTCGTGTGTGTGAGTGTGTGTGTGTGTTGTGTGTTGTGTGTATGTGTGAGTGTGTGTGTGGGGGGGGGGGGTATGGGTGTGTGTGTGTGGGTGCGTGGGTGTGGGTGCGTGTGTGCGTGCGTGCGTGCGTGCGCGCGTGCGTGCGTGCGTGTGTGCGTGCGAGCGTGCGTGTGTGTGTGTGTTGCTGTGTTGGTGTGTTGGTGTGTGGGTGTGTGTATGGGTGGTGGTGTACGTGCACGCGCGCGTGCGTGCATGCGTGCGCGTGTGCGTGCGTGTGTGTGCGTGTTCATGTTTGGATGGTGTGTGTGGATGTCTGTGTGTGCGTGTGTGTGTGTGTGGGGGATGCGTCTGTGCGCGTGAGTGTGTGGATGTGCGTGGATGTCTGCGTGCGTGCGTGTGTGTGAGTGTGGGGGGATGTGTGTGTGAGTGTGTGGATGTGTGAATGTGTGAATGTGCGAATGTGTGTATGTGGGAATGTTTGAATGTGTGAATGTGTGAATGTGTGATTGTGTGAATGTGTGAATGTGTGAGTGTGTGAATGTGTGAGTGTGTGAATGCGTGAATGCGTGAATGTGTGAATGTGTGAATGTGTGAATGTGTGAATGTGTGAATGCGTGCGCGTGTGAATGTGTGTGTGGATGTGGGTGCGTGTGCGTGCGTGCGTGCGTGCGTGCGCGCGTGCGGTGTGTTTGGGCGTGTGTGTTTGGTGGGGGGGGGGGGGGGGGGGGGGGGCGGGGGGGGCGGCGGGGGGCGTCCGTTCGTGCGTGCGTGCGTGGGCGTGCGTGTGTGCGTGGGCGTGTGCGTGTGTTGGTGTGTGGGTTTGTGGGTGTGTGTGTGTGCGTGTGTGTGTATGTGTTCGTGTGCGTGTGCGCGTGTGCGTGTCATTGCGTTGCTCTGTGCGTGTGTGTGGGTGTGTGTGTGTGTGTGCGTGCGTGTGTGTGTGTGTGCGTGCGTGTGCGTGTGCGTGTGCGTGTGCGTGTGCGTGTGCGCGTGTGTGTGCGTGTGCGGTGTGGGTGTCTGGGTGTGTGGGTTTGTGGGTGCGTGCGTGTGTGGGTGCGTGCGTGCGTGCGCGCGTGTGTGTGTGTGTTGTGTGTGTGTGTGTGTGTTGTGCGTTTGCGTGCGCGTGTGCGTGTGACCGTGCGTGCGTGCGTGCGCGTGCGCGTGTGACCGTGTGTGCGTGCGTGCGTGCGTGCGTGCGTGCGTGCGTGCGTTCCCTCCTGGGCCCAGGATGGACTCGGCCAGGATCGGCGCGCGCGTGCGTGCGTAGGTGTGTGGGCGCATGAGTCATGGGGGCGTGGGCGTGTGGGTGCGTGCGTGCGTGCGTGCGTGAGTGTGTGGGTGCGTGGGTGTGTGGGTGTGTGGGTGCGTGCGTGCGCGCGTTCGCGCGTGCCCTCCTGGGCCCAGGATGGGCTTGGCCAGGACCTGCGTAGGGGCACGGCAGGTCTGCGCCGCGTCGACGCGGCGGCGACCCCCAGCAATGGGCGATCAAGGTTGGACGCCGCCTGCGACCTGGAGTCGACCGACATCGAGCAATCTGCGCTGCCGGTCAGAGCTGCAATCGCTCAAGGCTGAAAGATCCGCGCGGTGTCGGCGACCAGCGCAAAAGTCGGCACTGCACGAGGTAGGGGTAGGTAGGAGGGTTTTATATTGTTGTATTATGTGTTCGGCATCAGGCCGTTTCATTTCCATTTCGGCTCTATTCTTGCAGCGCAGAGCGCTTAGCATCCGAGACCACATCCCATCACAGCCGAGTGCAGGGCCGCGCACAACAGCAAAACATCGTCCACGTCTTGAGTAAGTTATTGAACCTTATCACTTCTGACGTTGCCGTGGGGAAGTGGCTGGTCGACCCCAGCCACCCTGCACCAAGAAATGTTGACGTATCATTCTTGTTTCCAGCCGCTCTCGGCTGGAGTGCAAGGTAGCGTTGGGCAAACGCGCGGTACGGGATGCTCACCGTATGTCCCGATCCCCCGCCACAGATTTGACTCTGCGGCGGCGCCGCCACGCACGCAACGGAAAAATGCACAGATTCGCCTTGATCTCCTCTCGCACCATTCCCGCGAAACCCTGAGGAGGAGGAGGAGGAAGATAATGAGAAGGAGGAGGGAGGAGGGGACGGGAGGAAGGAGGAGGAGGAGGAGGAGGAGGAGGAGAACATTCGGCGTGCAGCCCGAAGGCTCACCGTCGTCTCGGCGCACCTCGCCCTCGGCGGAGGTTGCGGCGGAGGGCCGGCGGAGGCGAGGCGGCGGCGGCTCCGCCAGCGGGGGAGGTCGGCAGGAAGCAGCTGGAAGCAAGAGTGAGGCGTCAACATTTTTGGATTCAGGGCTTCGCGGGAATGGTGCGAGAGGGGCCTCTTCCTCCTCCTCCTCCTCCTCCCCCTCTCTCGCCAAATCAGAACGGAGACGTTGGAGGTCTGAGAGGGGGCATCGCCTTCAGCTCTACGGCTTGGGGCGGCGGGCGCACACGGACGGCCCCCCTCAGGCTGCACCAGATGGCCAACACCTCACACGCCCAAAGGTGGTCCTCTACACTCCTTCCTCTCTATCCGCCTACCTCCTCTTCTCTCCTCCTCTCGTCTCGTCCTCTCCTCCTTCTCTCTCCCCTCCTCCTTCTCTCTCCTGCTCCTCTCTTCCCTCCCTCCTCCTCCTCCTTCTCCTCCCTCTCCTCCTCCTCTACTCTATCTCCCATCTCCTTCTCCTCCTCCTCCTCCTCCCTCCTTGCAGTTCCAGCCGCCCTCAAAAAGGCCCCCCGAGTGCGGCAGGCTCGCGATCGTTCAAGGTTTAGCGTTCCCCGCGGCGTCAGGAACCAAGGCTGGGGTCGACACGACACGAACCTGCCGTAGTCCCAGCTGGCCTCAACAGGCCCCCCTCGTAGTCCAGGGCGGTCTCAACGCCCCAGGGGCGCTGCCGGAGGCGGCGCCAGGATGTTGAGGCCGCCCCAGACTATTCCGAGGATTTGTTGAAGCCAGCTGGTGCAGCCTGAGGAGGAGGGAGGGAGGGAGGGAGGCAGGGAAGGAGGAGG